GCAAGGATAGAGAAGATAGAGTTAAAAACAAGTTAGTCGCGCTGGTCATAGAGTGACCGGACGCATCCGGTATGTCTACCGGACGTGTCCGGTATTTCATCTAGTCTCGGGGCAGTCTGACTGAAGTGACCGGACATGTCCGGTCGCCACACCGGACGCGTCCGGTATTTGGACCCGAAGTGAGCGACTAAGTGAAAGTGACCGGACTCTGGTTAGTGGAGTGTCCGGACGCTGAGGAGTTACTGTTCAGCGTTAGGTCAAAGTAATGCGGCTTGATACTGAATTGCAGAGAGCGACCGGACGCGTCCGGTCGCCAGGTGTGAATCAGCGAGTGTCGGTGTTCAGCGTACCAGTTGATCCAACGCTGGGAGTGTCCGGTCCGGAGTGACCGGAAGCGTCCGGTCGGCCCATAGCGGCTCTAGGAGCTCTCTGGACTCGACCGGACGCTGCGTCTCCTGTGTCAAGTCCAGAGTGATCGGACACGTCCGGTCGGCCCTGGGAACTCTCTGGACTCGACCGGACGCTGCGTCTCCTGTGTCAAGTCCAGAGTGATCGGACACGTCCGGTCGGCCCTGGGAACTCTTTGGACTCGACCGGATGCTGCGGCTCCGCGTCCGGTCGTTTCTAAACAGCGCGCCCGATCATAGATTGAATATGGCAGGAACGACTACTTCATTTTAAAATAGGACAGGTGGTGGTCAGGTAGCGACCGGATGCGTTCGGTCGCCATACCGGACGCGTCCGGTATACACGACCGGTGCGTCCGGTGCACACGACCTGCGCGTCCGGTCGATGCACAGTCAGCCCAATAATTGAGTCAACGACTCTATTGTTTGGGGGTGTCTATAAATACCGTTTGACCGGCTCTAACTCACTCTTTTGGCCATTTGCATTGACACAGCAACCTTGTGAGCTTAGCCAAAGCCCTCCCACTCATCTCCATTATTGATTCAACATCTTTGTGAGATTGGGAGTGAATCCAAGTGCATTGCTTGAGTGTTTGCATCTAGAGGCACTTGGTGTTCGTGTTTCGCTGTGGGATTCGCTTGTTACTCTTAGTGGTTGCCGCCACCTAGACGGCTTGGAGCAGCGAGGATCGTCGAGCGGAGGTTGGTGATTTTCTCTGGCTTCGATCATAGTGATTGTGAGGGGTTCTTGACCTTTCCCCGGCGGAGAGCCAAAAGGTACTCTAGTGAATTGCTCGTGGCTTGTGTGATCCTCATCTTGTGTTGGTTGTGCTGCACCCTATTGAGAGTTTGGCGTGTGATGCCAATTAGCGCGTGAACCTCCAAGTGAGTGAATCACCACAACGAGGACTAGCTTGCCGGCAAGCAAGTGAACCTCGGTAAAAATCATCGTGTCGTCATTTGATTTCGAGGTGATTGGTCTTCATTGATATTCATTCTTGTGATTGATTGGTTCATTCCTCGACACGGCGGTATAACCATCTTGCTCATTCTCTCTACATTACCACAAACTAGTTGTCAAGCTCTTTAGTGTAGCTAGTTATGAGAGCTTGTTAGTTTTGTTAGTGTGGCTCTTTAGTTAGCCTTTGAGAGCACGCTAACTTAGTGTAGTGACATAGCTATTGTGTGGATAGAAACTATATAAACTAGAATTGTGGTAGATGGCTTGCAATTTTAGTAGGCTAGCACAACACTTGCTTCGCCTCATAATTGTCTAACCGGTTTGCTAAGTGTTATTGTAGAAATTTTTAAATAGGCTATTCACCCCCTCTAGCCATTAGGACCTTTCAACTCGAAAAAGTGTCCCTAGCTTTTATAATCCATGATCGTTGGATCTAAATAGCCCCACAACTTAGATCCATGGATCCAAATGGCCTCACAACTTAACTTCTATTATCTACTTCCTCTGTCCCAGAATAGATGACGTTTTTAACTTTACATTTTGTTTGACTGTTCGTCTTATCTAAATTTTTACTATAAATATTACTTATTTTGTTATGACTTATTCTATCATTACAAATACTTTAATAGTGACTTATTTATTTTATTAGTATTTGTAAAATAAATTTGAATAAGACAGATGATCAAACATGATATCTAAAAATCAAAAGCGTCGTGCATTTTGAGACAGAGGGAGTAGCTTTTAAAAATCAGATTGCAAGATCCATTGGGTATCTAAAGTTCCCCAAAAAAAAGCCTATTACATTGAGTCCGCGTTTAGTTCGGCCACCGAATCGGCGCCGCCGGATTCGGGGCGCACTGTAGCTACTGTAGCGTTTTGTTTTTATTTGGTAATAATTGTCTAATCGTTGATTAATTAGGCTCAAAACGTTCGTCTCGTAAAGTACAACCAAACTGTGCAATTAGTTTTTGATTTCGTCAACATATAGTACTCCTTGCATGTATCGTAAGTTTGATGTGACGGGGAATCTTCTTTTTGCATAGTGCTAAATTCTGAAATTTGGGGCAACTAAACAAGCACTGAGCCGATTTGTGCTACTGTACCTAGAAAACAGAAACAGTGGCTGCATCTGCTCGTGCCTCTTTCCTATTGGAAAAAGAAATGACTTGGTTGTAGACGACAAAAGCTGTTTCTTGGAAGCTTCGTTCTTTCATGCTGTTTCAGATTGGCAGCGATTCTGTACTCAGCAGCACGAGCGGCATCCCGATGTGACTTGTCTGAATTGACCCTCCGAGGCCTCCTGGATCTTGCCTGCATGCAGTCTCAATCTTGCACCCAGCCAATGATGAGTGGGTCCCGGTAGAGCTTTTGTGAGGTCGACGTCACGTCACGTCGAGTGGTACCGTGGCATTTGCATGTGCAGTACTATTCATATACGAGGATTTGTCTAGTTCTAGGGTGTAAAGCTTTGAATGTCGTGTTACACGAGGGTGTTAGGATACTAATAAAAAATAAATTATAGAATCCGTTACTAAACCGCGAGACGAATTTATTAAGCCTAATTAATCCATCATTAACGCATGGGTTACTGTAGCACCACATCGTCAAATCATGGATTAATTAGGCTTCAAAGATGTGTCTCGCAACTTAGTCATAAAATGTGCAATTAGTTATTTTTAGTCTATATTTAATACTCTTTGTATGTGTCAAACATTCGATGGGATAGAGAGTAAACTTTAGAGGAGAAACTAATCAAGGCCTCAGTCTTGCACACCCAGCCAATGATGAGTGGGTCCCAGTAGTTTTGTGAGGTCGACGTCAAGTCAAGTGGTAGCATGGCATATGCATGTGTAGTACTACAGTTCATATATTCATGGAAACTGGAAAGGGCGTGGAAACTGCAGCGACACGCATCTTCCCCATGCTCGATCGTGACTTGTGACCCAACAATTCGTCAATTTCAATTTTCAACGGATAAACATGCTGGACAGTTTTATACAAGGGCCCGTTGGATAAGCTAGGATTAGTTATTAGCTAAGCTAAAAATTAGTCTAAAAATTAGTTAAGTTTTGCTAGTTGGCTAATAACTAATTAGTGGCCGATTAATAAATAAACTTGCCTATTAGCCCATGTTTGATAGGCTAGGGCTAATTTTAGACAATAATTTTTAGCTGGATAGTGATTAGCCATTGGTATCCAAACATGTCTTAAGTACCGAGGGCTGACCTATAGAGAGCTTCATAGCTTCAGTATCTAACTACTAACCGATGCTGACATAGTTTGAGTTCCACTGCTAACTGCGTATATTGTTCTCTTTTTATATGTGGCTTGCTATTTCTTTCACATCATGGTTTGTGAGGCTTGAGTATGGTCATCATCCTAGCACCTTTCTTAATTAGGGATATTTTGGTTTGAACGGCGAGACAGGTTCATCCGACCTACACGTTCAAAATTGGCACCAGCCTCAAAAGCAAACATGCTCTTAGGGCCTGTTTGGATAGCGAGCTAACGGACAACTTGTCGGTCAAGCAGCAATCCTAGCCCCAGGCAATTGAAATCAAACGCGTGGGGACGTTGTGCTCAAACCAAACACGCCCTTAGTGTGTGGTGGATTTTAAAACATCACAAAGGTACTTCTCTAATGGTGTGACCTGTATATGTGCTACAAATGGACAGGTTGCCCACGTGACATGAAGAAATAAGTTTAGTTTAGTGGGGTTCTAGTTTGTTGGACAAATATTTTTGAAAAACCGATTTAGATTCTCTCATGAAATGTTTTTTTTTTTTAGGATAATATGTGAAATACCTTTTGTGTATATCTTAAAACCATTTAGTAGAGATTATTCTAGTTTCCTTCATTCAATAGGCAAGACAAACGTATTAAATTGTCCTAAAATCCAATAAAATACTTTTTTTATATAAAATACAATATTTACTATGTTCCACAAAACATATTTTAATAAGTGAAAATAAAAAATAAATATTGAACCTTAATTTCTATTACGTATAATGTTGTTTGCTAAAGAACTAATCTCATTTTTCAGCTACATTGAATACAAATCTATAAACATATATTTTATGTCGTAAATCTATATATAATTAAATAATTATTGGTTAAAAAATATGAAGTTCAATTTTTTTTGTCACCAAATACGCTTATCATTTCGGGGAGAGAGAGAGAGTATATTTTTACACACCGTTAGTCAAATTGCCATCTGATATTCTAATAGACACATATTTTTAATCGTTGGAAGTAAAAAAAAAAGTTGACGCGCAAGTTGGCCATATTCTCTCCACGTGGTGTAATTTAGTTTCCATTTGATATTTGATATATATGATAATGGAAAGCGCCAAGCAGCAGCGGCCAGCGGCAGCAGCATTTGTTCTAACGAAGTATATATATTAAGGTGGGAGGAGATAGATACTACCTGTCGATGCAGCCATCCTTTACTTCTTCTTTTTGCCCCCACAAAGCAAGACTTTATCAGTTGTTGACCAAATGGCAGCTGAAAAATAAGGAGCACATTGTTGTGTTGTGTTTGCCGTGTTTGTTCAGGAAAGTGTACAGTCAAAATCACTTCTTCTTCTTCTTCTTCTTGATCTTTTACAGCTGAGTTGTGCCAGTCTGCCAGATGGATAGGCTCGACGGTTCTGCCCGCCTCGTGCTCGTTTCCGATCTTGATCAGACGATGGTGCGTGTTTCAGTTCAGACCTTGGTTTAATTTTCCAGATTCAGTATGAGCTGAGTCATACTTTTCAGTTGTCCACCTGATCATCAGTTCTCAAACTTACAGATTATTTATTTACTCACAGATTGATCATCAGGATCGAGAGAACCTGTCCTTGCTTAGGTTCGAGGCGCTGTGGGAGGCCGAGTTCTCCCAGGATTCTCTGCTGGTCTTCTCGACTGGAAGAACGCCAATCAGTTACAAGGGCTTGCGTAAAGATAAGCCTCTGATCACACCGGACATCACTATCATGTCTGTGGGAACCGTGATAGCATACGGTGAAGAGATGATCCGTGATGTTGGCTGGGAGGAGTATCTGAACAACAATTGGGACAGGACTATTGTCGTTGAGGAGACAGCTAGGTTCTCTCAGCTAAAGCCTCAGGCATGTCCAGTTGCTTTGCTACAACGATTTCTTTTTGCTGGTTAGTCCCATTTTGATGGCTGAACTAGAGCTGTGTTTACTTTTTTATCGTTTGGATGCAGCCAGAGAGGAATCAGGGTCCCCATAAGGTTAGCTTCTTCGTTGACAAGCAAGGTGCTCAAGAAGTAATGGATTATCTCCCACAGAAGTTGGAGAAACGTGGGGTAAGGAACATGCATGCCTTCTAGATTTCTCATTCAGTTTTCCACATTCTTTAATGCTGGAGCAGCACTTATTGGCATATTTTGTTCTGACTTTCTGCTTCCTTAACTCTGATTAGCTAGATGTGAAAATAGTCTACAGCAGCGGTGAGGCGCTTGATGTTTTACCACGAGGTGCAGGCAAGGGCCAGGCCCTTATGTACTTGTTAAATAAGCTCAATTCATATGAGAAACCACCAAAGAATACTCTTGTTTGTGGTGACTCTGGAAACGACGCAGAACTATTCAGTGTCCCATCTGTATATGGAGTCATGGTCAGTGATTCAGTGCACAAGGAGTCCCTTGAAACTGTCAACTAAAGTTCGTTGGTGACAGTGGCTACTCTGTTAAGCTTACCAAAGGGTTTTCATATCATGTTCAGGTCTGCAATGCCCAAGAGGAGCTGCTTCAGTGGTATGAAGAAAATGCAAAGGATAATCCTAAGATAATTCATGCAACTGAGAGATGTGCTGCCGGTATCATGCAAGCTATTGGACACTTCAAACTAGGACCCAATGTTTCTGCAAGAGATCTTGAGTTCCCTTATCTAAAGGCAGACACCGCTAAGCCTGCAGATGTGGTGGTGAAGTTCTATGTTCTCTATGAGAAGTGGCGGAGGGGTGACCTTCCAAATTCTTCATCAGTTATGCAGTACTTGAAAAGCATTACTGTAAGTACTTCCTCTTTTCAGTTCTCAGAGTAACATGGTTTTTGTTTGTAACTGTCCACTATTTTTTATCATGATCACTTTCATACAGTGGACAATGCAGAAAGTAATTACACATTTCAAAGCTCCATTTGTCTTTGTCTCTTCAGAAGTTATTCGAGATCAAATCATACAAACTAGTCTTTTGTCTGAGAAAATACACTTGCAGCCTTAAATAGTTAAATTTGATTCATTGAAGTTTCTTTAACATATTTTTTTATTTTGTAGCATTTGAATGGTACAATTATTCATCCTTCTGGATCTGAACGTTCTCTTCACGCATCTATTGATGCTCTAAGTTCTTGCTATGGGGACAAACAAGACAACAAGTTCCGGGTATGGGTGGACAGACTAGTTACATCGCCAATTGGTACAAGTAACTGGTTGGTGAGATTTGACAACTGGGAAATGGAAGGTCTGCTCTCAGCCCTTCACATGAAAAACTGATTGTGGCTCTTAATCCATGCCAGTAGTTGTCACTTCTTTCATGTAGCTTCATGACATGTTTTATATTTCATACCATGTCTCTATTTTCCTTATTGTTTCTTTGATCCTTGGATAGTCTGCACTTCAGTATTTCGTTTGGTTTTATTCGAGCCTCACTTATGTTTCAAAAAAAAAATATTCGAGCCTCACTGTTAATGCCCCTGCTATTCTCAGGTGGTGTTCGGTATTGCTGCCGCACTACTCTTCTGCTGAATATTAAGGTAAATTCTCCCGTTCTGCGAGAATCATTGGTTGTCCTGCTGTTGCTTAGTTTTGTGCACCTGTATATATAGTGCATGTTTTAATTATTTCTATCTGCTTCAACTCAGCCTGAGACTCCAGAGGACTTGGAGCTGATACACATCCACAATACCTGGGTTGAAGGACACTCTGGAGGGAGCGAGCACACGTTCATCTTGTAGGTTAATTGGTCACTTGCGAAGCGCAGATAGTCATAACACATATTTTATTCAAGTCCAGATAGAATCAAAATGTACTTCCACACAGGTTCAATGCTCGGTAATTCCATGTACAAGAAAAGATGTTCCATGTTTCCTTCTCATGAATTTCATGATATCCATAAATTAGCTGAAGCTCTTGCCTCAAAATTGTCTGTGGATTTTCACATGATTCAGTTATATGACCTCTTGAGTCTTTCCTCTCTGTTGCTGAGTCCTTATCGACAACTAAGTAGTAAGTATGATACCTGGAAAAAAAGAAGAAGAGTTGTGTGCAAATTTGCCTAACCTGGTCCATGGTCATTCCCAGAAGTTGCTGCTTCATTTTGTCTGCAATTCTTATCAGCCTGATCCATGACCATGACCATGTGCCCAAACTACTACATCGCGCAATCGCTGACGATGGTGGTCTGAATTCCTCCAGGCACAAGCCATATTGACCTTCTCTTCTTCATTTTTAACATGAAACAAGACCTGGCCACTGGTTGACCAAAGGGTAGGTGAAGAATACACGAGGAGCACATTTCTGTTGTTTGCCATGTTCATTCAGGGAACCCAACTGCAGAAACACCCAACATTCCCTGCCAGCAATCTTGGCAAGAGCTTCAATGGAGAAGCTCGACGCTTCAGCCCGTCTTATGATTGTCTCGGATCTTGATCAGACCATGGTGCGCAAACCTTCCATTTCTGATGAATCCAGACGATGCTGTGTTCTTCAATGTTTTGGATCATTTACATACATGCAGGTTGATCACGATGATCCAGAAGACCTGTCCTTGCTGAGGTTCGAGGCGCTCTGGGAGGCCGAGTTCGCCCATGATTCTCTTCTCATCTTCTCGACTGGGAGATCGCCAATCAGCTACAGCGATTTGAGGAAAAACAAGCCTCTGATCACTCCGGACATCACCATCATGTCTGTGGGAACTGTGATAGCTTATGGCGTTGACATGGTTCGCGATGTTGACTGGGAGGAGCATTTGAGCAGCAACTGGGACCGAGATATCGTCGTCGAGGAGGCGACAAAGTTTCCTCAGCTCAAGCGTGAGGCAGGTTTCCATCTAGTTGCATTGCATGCACGATCACCTTCGCCTTTTGTTTTGTGCTTGATGCTGAGCTGAATCCTCTGTACGGATACAGCCAGAGAAGGATCAGGGTCCCCATAAGGTTACCTTTGTGGTTGAAAAGCAAGGTGCTCAGGAAGTAATGCATGCTCTCCCTCACAAGTTGAAGAAACATGGGGTAAGATCAATTTTCTTATATTAATATTACTGAGCCTTGTTTTGAATTTTCAGCTTTTTTTTTCTGTGAAACAGATACATGTAAAAATAATCTTCAGCTACGGTGTGCTTATTGATGTGGTACCACAAGGTGCAGGAAAAGGGCAGGCTCTTCAGTATTTGCTGAACAAGTTCAATTCACAGAGGAAAGCACCCAACAATATTCTTGTTTGTGGCGACTCTGGAAATGATGCAGAATTATTCAGTGTCCCATCAGTCCATGGCGTCATGGTCAGTGGTTCACACACGAGCTACTCAAACTCTAGGATAAAGTTCATTAGTGACGATGTTGCAAATCATCCTTTTGAAACCATGTTCAGGTCAGCAATGCCCAAGAGGAGCTTCTTCAATGGCGTGAAGAAAATGCCATGTGTAATCCCAAGATAATTCATTCAACTAAGAGATGTGCAGCCGGTATCATGCAAGCTATTGGACACTTCAAACTAGGACCTAATGTTTCTCCTAGGGATCTTGAATTCCCTCAGCCAAAGCTAGGCATCATCAAGCCTGCAGATGTGGTGGTGAGGTTCTACGTTATCTACGAGAAGTGGCGGAGGGGCGAAGTTCAAAAGTCCCCATCAGTAATACAGTACTTGAAAAGCATTGCTGTAAGTACTCCCCTTGTTTAATTTCTTAGAGCAACCTGGTTTTAAGTTAATTGGCACCATTCTTTTCATACCTGTAATCTCTTTATGAAGTAGACAATTCAAGTAGCGCTGTGCAAAAGGTGACAATACATTTCACATTTGCATTTCTCTCATAACGTCTTACAAGTAATACCTGTTCAATTTGTACTAGGGATTCTCGTTGTTTCCTTGTGCTTACTTTAAAGTTTAAGCTGATGTTTTCTTCTTCTTTTTTTAGCATTTTAATGGAACAATTATTCGTCCCTGTGGATTGGAGCATTCTCTTCATGCATCCATTGATGCACTGCGTTCATGCTATGGTGACAAAAAAGCCAAGAAGTTCCGGGTATGGGTGGACAGGCTTGTTACATCACCGCTGGGTACAAGTAACTGGTTGGTTAAGTTTGACAAATGGGAAATGGAAGGTATGTCCCCAGACATAGCTCTTCTCATGATGAACTGTTTTGGGTATAGTTTCAATAGTTTTCGCTTTGTTCAGGTTCAGCTACCTGCCTGCAAATTTTCGACAGCTCAGTACTTTTGAAATTTACTATTTTATTTGTTCGCTTCAGCTTCAGTGGTTAGTATTCCTTCTAATTTCAGGTGATGCTCGGTATTGCTGCCGCACAACTCTTCTTCTGAATATGAAGGTAAATTCTCTCGATCCTACTGTAATCCTTTACTGTCCTGCAGTTACATGCATTTGTGTTCAGCTAAAAAATTCACATAGCTCACTGCTTACTATCTGCTTCAACTGACAGTCCGAGACTCCTGAGGGATTGGAGCTGTTACATATCCAGAAGACCTGGCTTGAAGGACACTCTGCAGCAAGTGATCACACATTCATCTTATAGATCACATGGCAATGCACTCTAAAGAGAGAGGGCTGGGTGCTACCGGAAATTCCATATATTAAAAAAATCATTCATTGATTCTATCTCGTCAAGTTCATGAGATCCATAATAAATAATCTGAATATCTTGCCTCAAATTTCTGTATAGATTCTCACACCATTCAAACAATGTCGTCTCCTGCCTCTGTTTATATATTCAGCCTGTTCGCTTGTTGGTCTCAGCCAGCTCAAACCAGCCAGCCAACAGTGTTTTCCTCTCACAAAAAACCAGCACCAGCCAGCCTATACCAACACCAGCACCAACCAGTGAACAGGCCCATTATGAGAGCTGCAAAAGAAAGACAATCCGAAGAAATGTTGTCACTGCACAATAATATCTTTGACATCATTTAGGATTAATCTTAATGTCCTTTGTCTAGGAAGTATATCCCGGTCGGTATATTCTTTTTGATTCATATAAAGTCAAAACAAAATAGAAAAGCTAAACTATTTTAAATCTAAAAGTTAATACAAGAAAAATGTCAATAATAATAAAGAGAATACAAATATAAGGTGCAGAACAAATAGTTCTAAAGAACATAATTGGCATACCTCACATAATCAGTTAAATTATAGTGGATTTAATACATAATTTTTATATAACTTAGGGTAAAAGACAAGATGAGCTAGAACTAAAATTTGAAAAGGTTATAAAAAAGAGCATAGGCACCTAGAACACTATTTGGACCAAATACACACAGAATATTTTTGAAATTTGGAGACTAAATACATGTTTGAATATTTTTATAATTTGATTGTTTTTTTTAACATCAATCATTCGAGCGTGAAAGACCATACCAAAGAGTCATCTAGAAAACCACGTGAAAACAGCTCGCGCCAAAAGATAATGCAAAACGAATATGGAATATGCAAGGGCAATTATGGATGTGCCAGTATAGCTAGGACAATTATTAAAGAGTGCATCACTGTTAGGTGCCCAAGCAATAGTGAAGGCAAATAATTCAAGACACTCCCAAATGCTTGTTGAGCGGCTATAAAAGAAGAAGCCATGCATTTGGCATGGTGATGAGGATGAGTACTAAAAGAATTAAAACGAGCTAGGCCATCCTCCACGTGGCACTATGTATAAAAATAACAATGAACAAAAAGAAAGCAATGATTTTCAAAGGGATAGGAAACTACTTATATTTCTTTTGACAATCCATAATTATTTAAAGCATCTTCAGCAGACTACCTAAATCTATTACATATCCTATATTTGAGTAGTTGAGGTAAAAAAAACACGCTCCAAAAGACTACCTATCAAACTATCTATTTCTAGTGGTCCATCAAATTTCCACTCCCACTGGCTACGTCTGGACCAGCAAATCACGCTACCTATTTTTCTTCGCCTCTTCCCTCTCTCCCGCAGCGCATCCCGCCCCGACGCCGGTCGCCCACCTCCTCCCTGCTAGCGGCTTCCCTTCCCCGCGGGTCTCCCTTGCCGGCGACGCCCTTCCCCGATGCCGGCGGAGCCCCTCCCGACACCGGCGAGCACCTCCCCGCGGGCGGCCTTCACTACCGCACCTCCTCCTCCGCGGGCGGCGCCCCTCACACGCCAGCGGCACCCCATGGGAGCCGTCGCCGGATCCGGCCGCCCCCTTCCGGTTGTTCCTTCCCGGAGCCCCTGCCACCTCCCCCGCGCCTCTAGGTCCCAGCGGCCCCGCGCGTCCTGCTCCCCCCGACGGTGCTCCCCGGCAGCGAGCGGTCCCCGGCGCCCACCTCCGGCACGGTGAGTGGCCCTCGGCGCTGCCTGCTGCCCCCGGCGCGGCCTACTCCCCCCGGCAGCGCTCCGCGGCGCACCTCTGGTTCCATGTGTTGCGAGAAGAACACCAGTGAGAATGACATGTGGACCAGGATGAAAATGGGGAGCCAGTTTTAGACAGCACTGCCGGAGTTGAGAGCAAAATTTAGGAAGTATGAAAATAAGTGGGTACCAAAGAAAGAAATAGGTAGCTTGTTTTAGATAGTACTGTTAGAGATGCTCTTAGCACAAATCTAGTGGAATTACCTTACTAGTTTGAGATGATCACAAGCAACTCCTTTATTCTATATTACAATGGTGGACTACACTAAGTCATTGTTCGTTTCACTGAAATTTGGCTGATCTGCTGATGATGCTGATTTCTTGTGAAAGAAAAATAATGTTTCTTCGCTAAAAGTACTGCTGAAGTAGTGCTAATCCTGAAGAACAGGACGTAAAGATGGAAAGTGGAGCTGAAGTGAAGGGTGCTTCTTCTCATCTCATAGAGGTGTGTGTAAAAGGAGGCCGTCCTTATCGTCGTATCGAATGCATGCGCCTGGCTTCTTCTTTTATAGCCGCTCGAGGAGCATTCTGGAGCGTTTTGAATTATTTGCCTTCATTGTTGTCTGGACGGTACTGCACTTTTCAATAATTGTCTCGGCTATAGTGGCACATACATTATTATTGCCCTTGCATATTCCTTTTGCATTGTATTTTAGTGTGGGTTGCTTTCACGTGGCCTTTTGGACGACTCCTTAGTATGGTCGTCCACGCTTAAATGTTTTTTTAATAATATGAAGACCAAATACATGTCAGAATATTTTTATAATTTGATTGAATTCTGATTCGTGGAAGTGTGTAAAAGGAGGTCGTTACCATCGTACCGAATGCATGCACCTGCGGGTTGCCTCGATACATTAATGGTGCTACGCTCTTCAATAACTGTCTTGGCTATACTGACATATCCATTATTGCTCTTGCATATTCCTTTTGCATTGTCTTCCACATGGCCTTCTGGATGACTAGTCTTTCACGCCCGAATGATTAATGTTACTTTAAAATATTGATTAAATTATAAAAATATTCCTTGACATTTATTTGGTCTTCAAATTATAAAAATATTCTGGTGTGTATTTGGTCTAGGAGCAGGCAGTATGACAGCAGAAGTATCTTGACAACTAGAGAGCAAGATCAACACATGCAATGCAATGCATGGCAGACAAATGTTACATGCCGCGCAGCCTTATCACGGGAGAAAAAGACCAAAACATGCAAGATTGGACGATGAAAGCCACTGCAACCAACTTCAACTCATGGCTGAACATGAACTTGAGCTGAACTCACAGGAACAAAATTTATGTTTCAGGTAATTCATTCAGAACAGAACAGGACAAAATTTTAAGTTCCATTCACGGGAAACATTGGATTCTTGAAGAACTCATGGACACGCACAAAGTTTGCAAAGCATTCTGACTTGTGAAACTGAGACAAGATAATGATGTCAGATGCCTGACGTCATGAAATGGCACAGCAGCGCAGGAGGCCACACTACTACAGAATGTTACTGGGGCGGCTCTAGAGCCTCTGTAGGGGCGGCTGCGCCAGCCGCCCTTCCCCGGGTGTTCCTATAGAGAGTGTCTCTGTAGGGGCGGTTTACTGACCGCCCCTGCAGTGCCCTCTGTAGGGGCGGCTGGTGTTTTCAGCCGCCCCTACAGTGCCCTCTGTAAGGGCAGCTGGTAATATCAGCCGCCTCTGTAGTGGACTTCTGTAAGGGTGGCTGAGCCGCCCCTGCTGTGTGTATTTGTAAGGGCGGTTCAATCAAGAACCACCCCTACAGTGGATTTTTCAGCAAAAAAAATAATTCAAATTCAAATCTGACCATATATATATATATATAATTCAAATTCGAATCTGACCATTTCACAGGAAGACTAGTTATATTCCTACAGAGTGGACTAGTACAGGTAGTATTTCACAGGCTCACAGGAATATAACTACAGAAACACAAGACCATTTCACAGGAAGACTAGTTATATTCCTTATAAAGACTAGTCATATTTCACAGGCCGCTACTACTAGATAGACAACACAAGCAATGGTGACACGGATGAAATCTAATCTCTAAAAAAGATAACTTGTGCAATACTACTGGACAGAGTGTCTTATTACCAGCTAGCAGCCAACATAGATATCTGCAGTCCTGCAAGCATCAAACAACATGTTATCACCAATTAGTCACACTTCTGGATTTGCCCAATTTGCTAGCACATAGCTACGAATGATTTCCCATGAATAAACTGGTTGGTCAATCACAGTAAATTGCCTGAGAACTATTAGAAGGAAGAACTACAAAGTTTAAAGGTGAGAATATCACCTTTGCATCGAATCCCAATGAGCTAATGTACCCTTTGACATCATCTGATAACAAGTAGTTGGGGTCCAGGTCAAAATAGCTGAAGAAATTCTTTGCTGGGAATTTCTCTATGGTCAAATTGTCCCATAGATACTTGTAACACATCCGTTGAAGCCTGTCATAATCAGATAATCATCTATCACACAAACTTCATAGATGCTATCATTCTCCCATGTTCTTCAAGAGCATCCTACCATCTTATTACTTTGTGAGGCAAAACATTAAAACTTGAAGATAGCGACATATGCTACTAATCATATGGATTTTGTTTCTAAACAGTAACACTCATCAATGGCTTAAAAAGATGTGACATTAATATGATACATTTTAATGGCACAAATACAAAGGCACAACATGTGTACACGATCATTGTAAGAAAGAGCACTTGCCCAGTACCACCAAATTTAAGCGAAGTTCCACATTCATATACTGAATGATTGACCTAAGAGTTGTTGCTTAAAACAAAACTAACTAAAAATCATAGTTGGCAACAATAGGAACACCTGTAGTAAACTGAAAGCGATCACACGGTTGGTAGAGATTCCAGTTGAGAGGTTTGAACACCCCTTGATCCTAGGTGTCATGGTCGTATGAGTACCTCAGTAAAGAGTTTGATGCTCTCATTTCTTAAGACAAAGCCAAATGTCTCCCTCTCCCTCTCTCTCCTTGCGTAGATTTACATATATAGGTACAAAGATAGATTTGCATAAACAATACAGTCTAGAATTATTTAACAAATGATGCAATCCCTACAACGCAATAATGGCATTTCAACGAACAAGGTTACTGGCACTCGAATTGGATT